TCTGTCTGTCTGTCTGTCTGTCTGTCTGTCTATCTATCTATCTATCTATCTGTCTGTCTGCCTGTCTGTCATCTATCTGTCTGTCTGTCTGTCTGTCTCTATCTGTCTGTCTGTCATCTATCTATCTATCTGTCTGTCTGTCTGTCTGTTTATACACACAATTTAACCAAATTAAGCTAAAAAATTAATACAAATTTTAATATGAAAAAAATGAATAAATCTATTTGAAAACAATTCTCAGTTTTATAAGTTTTTTAAATGAAAAAATACTTTTTTTATTTGTTTTAATTATTCACAAATAATTTGTATTTGTTATACATAGATATGATATATTTGCATTATACAGTAATTTTGCTATATTTATATTTATATGCATATATTCTATATTTGCAATTTTTGTACTATATAAAACAATTTGTGAACAATCAAAATGAATAAAAATATACTAAAAAAGAGAAATCAAATTTGAATGTACATTTTTTTTTGTATTTAATTGTATATCATTTCATTTATAACAGGACCATAAATTGTTCCATCTTCTCATGACACTTTATCATAAAATGCAACAAGTCAACAGTGGTTAGCTGATTTACATGTCAATCAGACGGTCACTTTAATTGAGTGGTTCTTTTGACAGAATATCATACCATATTTCATATAATAAATATGCTTACAGTACCTGAATGTTTACATCTCAAAGTGCAACTAGTCTACTAGATCTGTAGAAATAAAAGGAGATTATTTAATGTTTCACAGGGAAACTGATGAGAGAAAATGAGTTTGAGATCAAAATATTACTCTTCTTATTTTGTCTTTTTTTTTTTTACCGCCAAATAAAAATTCTGTCATCATTTCTTCACCCCCATGTTGTTCCAAACTCCTGTACGAGTTTCTGTTGAACACAAAAGAAGATATTTTGAAGAATGTTGGTAATCAAACAGTTGCTGGTAGCCATTGACTTCCATAGTGTTTTTTTTCCATACTGTGAATACAGTGGAAACCAGCAGCTGTTTGATTACCAACATTCTTCAAAACATCTTTTAATTTGAAAATTAATAGGTTTGAAACAACATGAGGATGACAGACTTTTCACTTTTGGGTGAACTATCCCTACCAAACTTAATTCATACACTGAAAGCGGTTTGTGCATTAGTTGTCACGCTCTGTGTTGTTGGTTATGTCACATGATTAATTCAAACCGTATTATTAATGTGAAGCTTTCATATGCATCGTGGGTTGTTTAAACAGCACTTAACTGGACTGATATTGTATTCAGGACTCTTACAGTTCCGCCTCTTCTTTAAATCGTGTAGAATGGCTGTTTTACTCATCTGTGCCAGTGGCAAATTCACTGAGGTTATCAGGAGTTCAGATTTGTTCATCAGGCATGTCAATGTGACATAAGACATTATAATAAACTTGGCAACCACATTCAGGGCCAAAATGACATCGTTCCTCCAGAAATCCATCGTGATGAATTTCCAATTAAGCTCGTGAATAAAGCAGCCATTGTTTGTGGAAAAATGGGTTTCTGAAGAAGGAAATTATTTCATGCTTTGGTGTCACTCACGGCAGTGCCATTTCGCCTCTGAAGGCTTCGGGGCATCTACTGGAGACTTTCAATAGCCTCATTGTGGATTCATCTTGGCTTTAAAGGGGGGAAAAAGTGATTTGTCTTTTCGCTGAGTAACATGAAAGTAATACGGATAACCTGTGTTTTGATGAGGTCCTGGAAATGAGGTGATTGAGGAGGTCAAACAGAAGCAGCATCAGAAGAGCCATCACTCATACAAGGCCGCTTCCTCAGATCTCAAGAGTCTGCAGCTGTCCCACAGACGGAAGAGGAGTGTCGGTAAGACCTGCTGCTCAAAGACATGTCACTCTTCTTGACAGCGTATTTCGTAAATGAGCAGTTCTGCCTCTGGAATCTCATTTGATGAATTCTGTAGTTGCTTGGCAACCATAAACAGTTCATGAACTGCATTGCTTGGCAGAGCGATTGTTAATTTATGGTGCTTCACTGATAATAGTTGATAATATACACTTGTAGTTTTATTGCTAAACTTGTCCTGCATTTGTGCATAGCAACGCACAAAAAACACCTTAACAACCATATAGCAAAGGCCTGAGAGCAACAATCTGGCAACAAACATCCTAGCATTGAAAATGCAAATTTTGCATGAGAAAATATAATACTACACATACACTATACCGTTCAAAAGTTTTAAGTCAGTTAAATATTTTAAGGATTTGTTTTTAAATACAATAATAACAGTAGTGTTATGAAATATTATTACAATTTAAAATAGCTGTTTTCTATTTGAAAATGTTTTAAAATGTAATTTATTAAGCTGAATTTTCAGCATCATTACTCCAGTCTTCAGTGTCACATGATCCTTCAGAAATCATTCTAATATGCATTCTAATAAATTTGATGCTCAATAAACATTTCTTATTATTATCATTATGAAAAACAGTTTGCTGATTAATATTTTGTGGAAACTGTGAAACATTTTTTTTTTTTATGATTCTTTGATGAAAGTTCAAAAGAACAGTATTTTTTTGATATATTCAAGAAAAAAATAAAATTAACAATGTAAAAGTCTTTATTCTCACTTTTGATCTAATGATTTAATGCATCCTTGCTGAATAAAGCTATTAATAATAATAATAAAAAAACGTACTGACCCCAAATAGAAATCTTTTTGACTTTTATCATATTGCAACTGCTTTGTTTTAAAATAAATTGTGATTTGATCTTTTATACATGCTTTATATTCAAACATATGCTAAATATTTCAGAAGACAAGAATATTAGCTTATTGAATTGACCTGAATTGATTTGGTAAACCCCAGAACTCTCCTAATAATGTTATAGTCAGGATTTGATGTTACATAAACATCTACGATTGGTGCAATTCCAGTGTTGAGGATATAAAAAGCAGAGAGTGTCAGTTTTATTCAGGAAATCACAATGATTGGAGAGCACCTCTTTATTTGATTGTACGTGAGAGTATTTGGATTGGTGGTACTTGTGAGGTCACAAACGGATCCGAGCCAGGAAATTCCAAACATTCAAAGTTCATGTCACAGCTCGTTGAACTGAACAGAGTTCACACTGGCACATAGAGCTCTGACATGCGCTCTTCCTTCCCCTTCACATCAACCGTGGAGTGCAGCGGTGTGTGTGTGTGTGCGCCGTTGTGTGTGTTGGGATAATTCTGGCCTCTCTGTACCTTCCAATCACTCACTCAAACGCACCGAAAAACTGTTCAGGCCTCAGAATAGCTGTGTGCCATTTTTGTTACAACTGTTGCTCTGAAAGAGTGTAAACGTCCAGATCGAATGCCGATCTCAGTGCTGTGGTCGATCTTATTTTGGTCTAGGTAAATACAGAGGCTCAGAGATATTAAAAACCCTCTTTAATATTTGCCACTCATGCCGTTTGAAGGGCCTTGTTGTTTTGCTGGATGGCATCAGTTTCAGAGAAGCACGCAGGCAAAATTTCTCCCAAAAATGAACTGAAAAATGGTAATTCAGTGGTACTGAATGATTACCTTAATCATGTGACCTGGTAGTTTTTAATTTTATTTAATTTTACTTTATTTTCTTTTAGTGTGTTTGTGTGATTGAGTTAATTATAATCAATACAGTATAATTATACCATAGTATAATGATGGCATCAAATGCTAATGCCATGGTGGTTACCATATTCATGTGCCATTATATTTTTAGTTTAGTTTAGTTTGTATGATTAAGCTTGAGCTAATTAATAAAGTATAATTATACCATAGTATAATGATGGCATCAAATATTAATACAAAAATAAAATAAAATATTAATTAATAAAAAATATTATTTTATTTTATTTAGCTTATTTTAGTTTATTTAAGTGTGTTTTTTGAAGCTTTAGCTAGTTAATAAAGCACAATGCCATGGTACTTAATGATTACCATATTCATAAGCTTTGAAGTATTATTTTATTTTATTTAATTTCATTATTTTGTTTTAGTTTATTTAGTTTAGTGTGTGTTTTTTTTTTTTAGTGTGATTGTTTGAAGTAATTAATAAGTAATATCTTGAATATTCTTTGCCTTGAATTTGTTCTAATGTATTAATTTATCCATGCGTCCTCATTTCTTGCATCCAGTAGAGGAAGCGGTGCCCGCCATGTGCAAGACACGGACAGTGATCTACGAGATCCCCCGCAGTCAAGTGGATCCCACCACTGCAAACTTCCTAATATGGCCTCCGTGTGTGGAGGTGAAACGCTGTACAGGCTGCTGCAACACCGGAAACATGCGCTGTCACCCCTCCAAAAAACAGCACCGTACTGTCAAGGTAAGAGCAATGCATCAACAGTCCTGTAAAGCCATTTAAATGTGGGGAAGACAATGCTGACTTTATATCTTAAGCAGTATAGATATCAGGGCCACACCCACTCCAAGCCACATCCCTGTTTTAAATAGTAATAATATTTCACAATATTACTGTTTTACTGTATTTTGAATCAAATAAATGCAGTCTTGGTTAGTATAAGAGACTTTACATTAAATCTTACCAACCTCAAACTCTTCATCAGTAGTGTGCATGTATTTATATGAACATTTCTTTATTCCATTCTTTATTTATTTGTTCATTTATTCATATTACGCAATCTTCTGAATGGACGTTCAGTTGATTGTAAAGCACTATCCATTTTTCCACATAAAATGAATACAGATGTTAGTCTTGTATGTTTTTTTTCCAGCTCTGAGCACAGGGATGGGACGAGAATATATTATGTGTGTTTCTTTCCAGCTATGGTGGTATATATTTAAGCAAATACTCTCAAGAGGTGTATTTACCCTTCCCTCACTTTTTCCTTCTCATCCTAAAAAAGGAGCAGGTCTGCACAAGCTACTGCTGTTCAGAGCCTTGATATAAAAAACACAGACTGTAAATAGGCCTCGTGTGTGAGTGCTTGGCAACATTTCTGCTGTACTTTGGTTCATTACAGTGATAAGCTTGTTTCAAAGGAAACACTGCTGGGTGTGGAACATAACACCAGATAATGAGTCTATCAACACTTACTGGAGTTAAACTTCACCTAGTCTGTCTATCTATCTATCTATCTATCTATCTATCTATCTGTCTATCTATCTATCTTTATGTCCATCCATCCGTCCGTCCGTCTTTATGTCTATCTATCTGTCTATCTGTCTGTCTATCTATCTATCTATCTATCCATCTATCTATATGTCTGTCTGTCTATCTATCTATCTATCTTTATAACATTCTACCATTCTGTCTGACTGTCTATCTATCTATCTATCTATCTTTATAACATTCTACCATTCTGTCTGACTGTCTATCTATCTATCTATCTTTATAACATTCTACCATTCTGTCTGACTGTCTATCTATCTATCTATCTATCTTTATAACATTCTACCATTCTGTCTGACTGTCTATCTATCTATCTATCTTTATAACATTCTACCATTCTGTCTGACTGTCTATCTATCTATCTATCTATCTTTATAACATTCTACCATTCTGTCTGACTGTCTATCTATCTATCTATCTTTATAACATTCTACCATTCTGTCCATCTATCCATCTATCTATCTATCTATCTATCTATCTATCTATCTATCTATCTATCTATCTATCTATCTGTCTATCTATCTATCTTTATGTCCATCCATCCGTCCGTCCGTCTTTATGTCTATCTATCTGTCTATCTGTCTGTCTATCTATCTATCTATCTATCCATCTATCTATATGTCTGTCTGTCTATCTATCTATCTATCTTTATATCCATCCATCCGTCCGTCCGTTTGTCTTTATGTCTATCTATCTGTCTGTCTGTCTGTCTATTTATCTGTCTGTCTGTCTGTCTATCTATCTATCTATCTTTATGTCCATCCATCCGTCCGTCCGTCTGTCTTTATGTCTATCTATCTGTCTATCTATCTATCTATCTATCTATCTATCTATCTATCTGTCTGTCTGTCTATCTATCTATCTGTCTTTATATCCATCCATCCGTCCGTCCGTCTGTCTTTATGTCTATCTATCTGTCTCTCTGTCTGTCTGTCTATCTGTCTGTCTATCTTTCTTTATGTCTATCTATCTGTCTGTCTGTCTATCTTTCTTTATGTCTATCTATCTATCTATCTATCTATCTGTCTGTCTGTCTGTCTGTCTGTCTGTCTTTTTTTTCTTTCTCTGCCTTTTTTTCTGCTCCGTGTTCTTCTCTTTTGCAATCCATTTATATTTCTTCATATTTTCTCTGGCATTTAGCCTGTCTCTCTCTCTCTCCTTCTCTCTCTCTCAGTAGTGATTGAGCTGTTATGTAAAGTGTAACAGGAGTTGATAGCTTTAAGGCAAGTCAGTTCACTCATCAGCCATTCTTATCATGCTAGCACAGCTCCTATCTGCATGAGTTGGGACTGAAATCTCCAAACCTTTTGGCTGTTTCAGTAACAAATGTTAAATCAGCAATAAAATATGACATACATTTTGCAGCTTTAATTCAAATCAGGCTATAAAACGAACACTTTCAGGTTAGATGCAACACATGCACATGGTTCTATCAAAAAGACATTTGCCTTTTTTAACTGAAATCAAGATTTCTGTTCCTACAGACACCATAATGAGTGTTACATTTTCTTCTGTTAATTTCTCTTCTGTACAGTCTCTGTTTGACCTAATTTCCCCTTCACTTTCTCTCTTGCTATCGTCCCGGTGTATAGTACTAATGATTTAACCAGAACTGCTGTGTTGCAGTTTGTGTCTATTAGCCTTGCTAAAACACACACACACACACATGCAAGCATCATCACACAGTACTACAACAACAACAGGTGCTGCAGTGAAGTACTGGGGGAGGGGAGAGGAGTTGGACCCCAGACAGAATAAACCTTGTTTTACAGTGAGGAGATTCAGATCAGACCTGCAGTGTAAGAAGAGGCCACATGTAAACATCTGTTAACACAACAGAAAGCTGAAAGGGACTTGTCGTGGATTATGGCATCATTTACTAGCCTGTATGACTTTCCTTGTTTGCTTTTTAATTTATTCAGTGAAAGTCAATGGGGTCCAATATTGTTTTGATCATAAACAATGAAAACAGTTAATTATTTCACTATCCTTTTACGTCTCTTCTTAAAGTCTCGTTATATGGTTTGCAGGGAGATTTTGTCGTATCGCTCCATCTATGAATCAGCATACCTCAACCCAACCTGAGGAAAACGTTTCCTCAGCATCAACAATGAACAAGGTCACTGTGGTTTCCTTAAAGTAAGAATATCAAGATATCAGGCAGCTGAGTGTGTGTGAATGATGTTTATTTTATTTTCATCTCTGGTAATCGGACTGCTAAAGTTACTAAATCCAGCACACCGCTGTTCTTTCCTAATGAAGAGACTAAGTGAGGATATTCCTGATTTGGAATGTTTGCGAGCGAGTGTAAGAATACAGCATGTGATGTGGTTCAAAAGGCAAGTGTTTATGTGTTTGGATGAGCCGGATTTGGATTCCTCCTTTAGAGGTCGGTACGAAGGGAAATCATACATGGTTTATACTGGCACTGGAAGCACAAGGTGTGTTGCGAGTGTTGATTTTGGGTATTAAAGAACCTCAAATGGCCCCGGTTAGTGAGGATACGGGCCCCATCTCTGACGCAAACACTGAGGAAACACAAATAGTGCTAAATCGAATGAACGTCGTATTAATATAGAAAATACAGCAAAATATTCCAAAAGAGCCTGTTGTATTGGAGTGGAAAGGCTGATGTAGCTGACAAAAACTGAACAACATAGCTCTGTGTTCAACATTTACAGTAAGCTCATGTTAACGCTGTCTCATACATCTGATTTTTTATTCATCTGCCTGTGAAGTTACATAATAATATATAATCTATAAATGGACAAAAGCATGTAGTCTTTGACTTAAATTAATTTCTTTGCATGATTACAGTAATGCACTTGTAAGTACAATAGAAGTAAATGGGCAGGATTTAAAAAGGTTTGTTGAAGTGCTTAAATAATATATTATTTATACATCATAACACCTTGCCTCATACATCAGTTTGAATGCATGAGATTTAAATGAGAATCATTGAAAGATTTTTCAAAAATCTAAAAATGCTTTGAAATGCAAGAAAGAAAAAAAAGAGTTCTCCCTTCTCTCTCTCTCTTCGTTTGTTTTTCTTTGCATGTGGTGGACTGTAATTGCTGTCATATCTATATTTCAGTGTTCTTTACATCTTTTCGCGCTCTCTGCCTTCCTGCTGTTGATTAGGGACATTTTTAAAGGGCTATGACAGGAAGTGCACAGATTAGATCACCTTTTCTCCTTATCTTCGTGATTGTCTGGGTGCCTGTGTGTGTGTTTTACAGCAGAGATTTCACCCATAGTCTTTCTGTAACTCTAGACATGCAGGTCATGAGATAAAAGTTTCCCTTATTTTCCCCCCTCCCAGCATCCCTTGTTCCTGTTCAGGCCTCTCTTTGTCACTCACTCAATAAGAACGCTCGCTCCCCACACCCCTCTTTCTTTTCGGGTTGCCCCACCAGTCGCCTGCCTGCCATCGGACCCCCACTCTTTCTGCGGCTCTCGGTTTCGCTTTATCCACAGCGTTTTGTCGTCAGATTTACCCACTGACAGATGTGCAGCAAAACTGCCTGTCCCTTGGCTACGTGTCCAGTTCCCTTTGTTCCCATGCTAATTACCCATGATGCACCTCTCCTGATGCCCGTTCTTTCTCTCACCCTTTCTTTATCAACCTTTCTTGTGGGGAAATGCCAATGCCAATTATCCAGACCCTGGACAATAGTCCTCACAGAGCGCAGGGCGAGTCAGAGGGGGTTGGGGTTGCTGGAGCCGGGGCTGGATCAGATGTCACACCATTAGTGCGCTGCACTGGGATTTCGCAGGGCTTTCATTGCGGCGTAAAGCACAGTAGTTTATAAATAGAGCTTGGAAGGGCCTCCTGAGAAACTTGGGCCTTTTTATAAAGCGCATTCGAGTATGTGGGCGAGCGCATGTGTGAAGTTCAGACTTGAAACCGAGATGCAAAAGCAATGATAAATTGAATTTGAAAGAGAATATTGGGGCGGGGTACAGCAAAGGATGGTGCGGGGACTCTTTTTTTCTTATTATGACCCTTTGCTGAACCCCTTACCCAACCCCCCGACCAGTTCTCAAGCCCCTCGGAGTCTGTCTCACCCTTCATCCTCAGTCGCAGAACATTCTTGCACGCCACGGGCTGTTCTAGACTTGGCTCTGTAAATATAACCAAGCATAAGAATGTCCAAGAGGAGGGAGAGCTGGGCAGCAGACAGAGGGAAAGAGGTATAACCGGGTGGACGGAGTCACCGAAACAGGCCCGTTTCACTGTCTCTCACTCCCTACCGTCATTTTGAAGTTTCTCTATAGGTTTGTGGGAGTTTCCAAGTGTTGCATCATTTGTTCCATAATGTTAAACCAATTGCACTTGCACGGTAGACTGAGTTTTTATTTGCACTCTGTGAGTCATGCACTGAATTTAGTGATTGTGTTCGAAGCCAGAAAAATACTCCATGGAAGCACACCAATGCATACTTGAATGTTTGGCTGATGCATTGCAAATGTGCAGTCCCATTGTGCACACTCAAACCGGGGTGGTTTGATCGCTTTCTAGGTCATTTCTGATGGAGCAAGTGGAATACCATTCCTTACCGCACTACAAAACCTATTTAGCAACCCATAAAACCAACTTTTACCAAATTAAGCATGTATTTCCCTGCTAAAAAGACCAATCATGGGGACAAATCCACATAGAACACATTTAAAAACATGAGATGTGGGGAAAAAGTCTCAAGATTGTTTTTTCAAAAGTTGGCACTTATTAGAACTTAAGATGGGACTGCAAAAGTCAGAATCATTTGTCTAGTAGTTTGTCTAGTAGCCCTCAACACTGCACAGCATTTCTCCTTAATCAAACACCCCTAATTCAACCCATCAGCTCATTAGTAGAGACTCCAAGACCTGAAAATTGGTGTGTCAGACAAAGGAGACATGCAAAATGTGCAGAGTTGGGAGGACTGGTCCAGAAACATTTTCGGGAACCACTGCCTTATGTCCCAGACTCCCAGGTATACTCCCACTTTCAGTGTTCTGTTCCATCTCGCGCACAGCCACATCCGTACAGCTTTCAAAGAATATTCAGCCAAGCATTAGCAGAACAGTGAGAAGAAATAGAGGCCTAAGCGTTAAAATTAGCACAACAAAAGACACCAGTCGACCCCTGTTTAAGGCTGGGTGGTTATTTTGAGTTTAGTGTGCTGCAGTGGGGCGTTAACTGTGGAACATGTAACTGTTTTGGGCTTATTGCCCAGGAATTGTTTGACAAATTTTTCCACTGTTGCCTATGACCAATTGGCAGGGTTTGGAGTTAACGGAGCATGTACTACCTTAGTTAAGAATCTTTGCTGTCGTCCTGTATGCTACTCCAACACTGAAAAACTATTCATCGCTAACCTAACCTGGTTTTTCTCTCTTCTTCCAGGTGGCGAAGGTAGAGTTTGCATCGCGTAAGAAAGCAAAATTGAAGGAGGTGCTTGTCCGGTTAGAGGATCATTTGGAATGCGTGTGCACATCACAGCATCACGTGATCGAGCACACGGAAGCAGACACAGGTACATATGTCACACATACACATGCATACACCGAATGTTTGGCCTGATCTTGAATGATTATTTGGCTATGGATTGTGCACTTGGCGGCCTGTGGCATTGTGCTGTCACCGCAGACAAACACACCTGTGTGAGCTTGTGTTTTACTGTGCTGGGCAATGATGCAATTGAATGGATAAGAAAGACCACAGGTGTATGCAAATGCTGAAACACGTAGAAGTGTGTCTGAAGGTTCTCCTTCAGGTTCAACAGGTTTCTGGTCTCGTGTGCGAAAACCTTGTGCCGAGATAAAAGGGTTGGAAGCTCATGAGGCTCAAATATTTATGAAGTGCAATTACAGTCTGTTTTACACCTCCCCGAGGCCATAAATTCTTTCTTTTTAATCTTTCTTGCTTGCTTTCTTTTTTCTACTGAACCACATTCTGCCCATCATCTGGCTTGCACCTTTCCCCAAACTTGTGTTTCCAGGCCCACGCACAGTTAAAAATGGTAAAAAACGGAAACACAGAAAGCAAGCAGTGGCAGCACAGATCAACAAGGATATTCAATAAAAGGCAAACATTTCCTAATACTCAGCGGACCAAAATATTCTGCAGGTAGGACAGCTGTGGACAGAACCCCTGCCACTTCGCAACCAATCATTGGCATGAATTGATCAGGAGAAAGAGCGAGACGTTCAATCAGAGTCACGCAACACTGAGCGAGAGAGACATTTGCACTGTGCTGTGTTTCGCTTTGCTGCATGGGTCACGGGATTGTCTGTTTGATGCAACTTATTTTATGAAATCAAGCTGTGCTCATCATGTATATAATTTAGCTCTGTTTCAAAACCAAGTGAGCTGCCTTGCTGTCTACCGCCTACCTAGGCATCTACCTTCTAAGCACATGTGTCAAGCTTTGGTCCTGGAGGGCCACTGTCCTGTAGAGTTTAGCTCCAACCAGCTCCAATACACCTGTCTGGAAGTTGCTAGTGAGTCTGAAGACCTTGATTAACTGGTTCAGTTGTGTTTAATTAGGGGTGGAGCTAAACCCTGCAGGACAGTGGCCCTCCAGGAACTGAATTTGACCCCCTAAGGCAGTGATGGGCAAACTTGGCCCTTCCAGGCCACTTTCCTGCAGAGATTTGATCCAACCCTGATAAAACTCACCTGCCTGTAGCCTTCTAGTAGTCTTGAAGACAATGATTAGCTGGTTCGGGTGTGTTTGATTAGGGTTGGAGCTAACATCTGCAGGAAAGTGGCCTGGAAGGGCCAAGTTTGCCCACCCTTGCCCTAAGGCAACATTAAAGTAGACTGGTTTGGAAAACTTTTCATAGACAGCATCTTCACACACCACTCAAGAGACTCAAATCCAATTTATTCCAATACATTTTGTTAGTTATCTTAAAATGCTAGGCAGCTCAATAGGTTTTGGAACAGAGCTTGTGTGGTTGGCATAATTTTGAGTGTTTGTGTATGAAAATGTGTGAATTGATGGTTTGGTGAACTTGATCACAAAAATTGTTCCTTTCACATTGTTCTTTCTTTCTTAAGTGTGCACAGACTGTCCAATAATTCACATTAAAATCACTGCGTGGTGGATATGTGTCACTCAAACAAACCGCATGTCTTACTAAAGAAAAAAATCACAATCAAATAATTTTGAAACTGCACCAGATTCCACAAAAACGTAATTGCTTGTTAACGGTTGTTTTGTTTCCTTTCTCTCCCTCCAGTGGACATGAGGTGAAACCACATCAAACGAGCAATTGAAGGACAACAGTGGCTACGTAATGCTCCAGCAGCACTGGGACTTTGACCTCTGAACTCTGACCCTACTGACCCCATTGCTGTTCAAAAAAGATACCGTATCCAGAGGAACATTATACACAAATACAACACCAAAGGTGCTTTCTACGTACTCTGTCAAACACTGAAGACAAACAAGATTGGTATTCAGTTAATTATTAAGTGGTCAAACACTGGGCGGAAACGAAACTGAAAAGGACGATGTTTGTGTCAATTCTCTGTTGTTTATTGCGTACGACTCTCTTAAAGGTCAAAGATGAGGAGAAAGTCTTTTGGAGAACACTACGTTTGTAGACCATGAACTTCACATGCTTGGGTTTGGATCCGCTCAAGCAGGATTCTAGGACTCCAGTCATTCAAAAAGAGGATTAACATTAAAGGATGTGCTGTCATATAACCTTGCTAAAACGGAAGATGCAATTTTCAGTTGTTTTCTGCCTTAGTCCTCTTGGATCCAGAACATTGAAACTGCTATTTCCAATGTGCCTCTAGAAAGTTTTGGCCTTCCGAAGACTTCAACTGCCTGTCCGTGAACAAAGACTTACAGAAGGCAGTGTAATGCAGTCATTATGCCAGAATAAAGTATTTATGTATGCGATCTCTCTTTCTCACACTCTTCGTTTCTCAGTCCAATGTAAGAAGAGCTCATCTTCATTGATCTGGAAGTATTATCAGTAACATTTTTCTCAATATTTCAGTTCATTCTTGCTTATATTTTACAGCAAAAATACTAGGTTTTTGTCCTGGAAATATGTGTCATATAAAGACATGTGGAAAGATGCTTTATTTTTGTTAAAAATATATTTATAATGCTAATGTAGAATCAAGCAGGAAGTATGTTTATGTATTGTGCTTCTGTTTTTGTGGTGTAATGGTTGTATGATGGGATAAGATGGCCCATTGAGAGTAAATGCTATACAGTATCAACAGGTTGGCCATGACACAAGCATCATTAGTCATAAGATGTTGGTTCATAATTTGCTTCTTTACTCACCGTAACATAATATTTAATGCTGACATACAAAGAGAGAAAAAGATAATTAAAATAGTCAATAAACACTTACCTTAGGTATGAAGCTTTGTTATAAATAAAGATATCAAAACTAATGAAGAGCACATTTTTATCATATTCACACACAGAAGACATCAGAAATTGTAGATCCTGTTCATTTGATTCCTAAAGGATACACGCACTTACCTTCAGGCCTTGAATTTTAAATGACCTTAAACTGAGTTTTTCTGCTGGGGAAAAGGACATAAACTGTTTAAGAAAAACCTGATTGCCACATCTAGATTTTTGCCCAAGACCCTGTTTTTGTTTTGATGTCAACATGGAGAAATCTTTTAATATCCTGAATGTCGTTTTCTTGCATATTGTTGTGCATGTAAATAAACTCAATGTTTCTAGGGTGGCGAAATGTTAAATGGTGTTTAAAGGGACCTTCTGCGCAATCAGCACTCTAAACGACGAGTTTGTGCATTGAAATCTCTGAGGGCTGTATTTATGACATTTACAGTCTGTTGCAAAAGTGCTCAAGCAAGAGCTTTCATGTTGTTCCAGGCCTGTTGTTGACTCTGGCTCGAGTCGTGTCTTGCTGCAGGGACTCCACTGGTTCTTGTCATTTTTGACACATGCCAGACAGATGGAGCAGTCCTGGCATTGGCTTTACAACAGAATTCGGCACTTTGTCACACTCCTGACCCCCAAGTGGCATGTCTGGCCATCTAAAGAGCACCTGGAGGTCTGAATCACTGTGAATCACAGCAACAAACTGTGGAGACGGTTGAGGGGGTGGAACAAAAAGCTTTGACTAGTTTTATTCTTTGTGCCTTATTAATGTTTGTTTTGTATTTATAACCGTGAGTCATGCAGCAGTCTGTCTGGTACAACCCATATTCACTTTCTACAACATCATGGGTATTTGACTTAAATATATACAGTTGAGCTGAAGTTACCATTTTGTGGTTTCAATTAAAACACGATTAACCATATTTGTAGGGCTGGTTGTATATTTGTTTGTCTAGTGGTGTATGACCTGATTTAGCTCTGTAGCTACTGTGGTTTCGTGGCACTCTTTACTTTGGCAGCTGGGTGATTTAGATTGTTATGCTCAGGTGCTGGAACCTGCTAGTCTGTTCAGTGTTTCTGTACTGAACTGCTTATAGGGTTCGACAATGCAATTCACTTCTGTCATATCCTTAAATTGTGGGATTCTCTGGTCACACGCACATTCTCCTGTTGTCCCAATAGGAAGTATATCCCGACCATAGACTTTTTCCATCTCTTTTTTTTAAGCGCATTCCTACATGACATGTTTTGCATGTCTGGAGTTGTACAATAACAGGACGTAGGATCATGGGCAGTATGCGTGAAATACAGAAACTTTATAGTAAGAAAGTGTAAGAAGAAGCATGAAAATATTTCCGGAGTCATTTTAGCTGTACAAATAACAATGATTCCCTGCTGAGCATAGATAACTCATTTCCAACACAAGGTTTATGAGCCTCTAGGGGTGAATGATGGAACTACAGGTGGTTTGTGAGACTGATTGAAATGCCAAATGAAACTAAATAAATGAACATTACAAAAAAAAATAAAAGATTTTAATAAGCCATATGTTAGTGCTGGTTCAAGTCTTTTCAGTTTATTTACGGAGTGTTCCCCCTCCGTACAGATCGCATTCCGTGTTCCCCTGGGTAAATCGCGTTCCGTGGGGGGTACCCCTCGATAGAAATCGTGTTCCTTTCTACACGAAAAGAACGTGGAACGGGTACCGGCTTATGTCACTTCTTAGTACACACTGTCGGTGCGAATGCAACCCTTTAAATGGTACTGGGAAATAGTGCGCGCAAAATCGTCCCAGTACTTTAGTACTGTACATTTAGTTCTGGAACTAAAGCGGTGCTGATAACTGCACCGTTCGGTTCATAAGTAAAGTTAGTGCTTATAAAAGTGCTGAAGGCGCGATTTAAACTATTAATTAGTAGCCTGATTCTAGGATTTTATTAACCATGGTATAAATATTGGGGGGTTGTACTTGCCAGTTTTGATTATTGGGGGTTATATTCCCCCCTAAACTACGCCCCTGTATAGGAATTACATACCATGGTAGAGAGCCCAGAGGTAAAAGTAGTATCTAAATGGCAGAGAAAGAAAGCTTTAAAGAAAGCATTCTGTAAGACAAAAAGCCTCTCAATTATGTCCAATTTGCCCATGGAAATGTGCCACTAATTCACTATCTGGCACATCCCTTTGTAGGGACAAAGTCGTCTCACTGGCCCTTAGAGTAAGTGTTATGTAGGAGAGTTTGAACTAGGTCATTTCAGTTCACATCATGGTCTACAAGTGAATTTCTTGCATGTTGAGGTAAATCCACACACTAAGTATTGAAAATTGATGTCTGAACAGGTATTTTAAATCAGAATCTACTCCAAATTGTATAAATTAATTGTGGAAATAGACACTTAAGCGACTGCCATGCTGTATCCGACCTGGTGACCTGGCCACATTACATTTTAAGAAGCTTGTTCCTACAGACCATAATTGCGAGGTGGGGAATTGGGCAGTGCTCATCATGAAGGGTGCATTGAAAGAGTGTAGACGGGTGAAAGCGAAGCTCAAAACCCCTTCCTGCTGCTGACAGATCATGGGAACCTTGAGAATATAAAGGTTGCCAAGAGGTAAAATCACAAACGAGCAAGTGACTCTATTTTGTACCCTGTTAAACATCACTTTAACACCAAACAATACAAAGGCACAGGTATTTTCCAGGCAATCTGAGGGACAGACAAGGAAAACTGTTTCAAAACAGTCATTATTTTTGCAATTCTGTTTGGTGCTGCTAGTGGCACAGAAATTACACACCTGAAGTTAAAGTGTGTAATTTCCGCTGTGATTCTATGGTGATGTTGTGTAAATCCTCCCACTTTCATTCTGCTGATATACATTTTTTTTCTCTCTCTGCAGTTGGCTTTGGCCTGTCATAGACAGGAACAGTGGACACTGGACACTGGACATGAGACTCTGGTCAAGACATCCCGGCTCCAGCGCCTCTGCACAGTCTGCATGAAACCTGGAATGTGAATATGAGTGCATGTAAATGTGAGAGGACACACACAGAGGTATCATTTCCCCAAGACCTCACACAGTGACAACAACTATTTATTGCCAATAACCGGTGCCTCTGAGTATGCCAAATAATTAAGTGGTGAAGGTATTACCTTTATAGCAAGATATCAATGGCAGTGTCAGCCTCCTAGGTTTGATAATCATCACTTCCTCTTGCAATTAAAAACTACAGACGTGTACACATGTAAATTAGCAGCATGTAGTGGCCTCAAAAAAGTATTTGGACATTCTTGGACACTTACCAGTAAGTCGCGCTTAAAAATGTATCAATTTCACTGCACTAGACACAAATTTTCAAACCAAGTGGCATGTGCAAACAAATGATGCTCAAGCTTTTCTCAGAACTAACTTCATTTTCTGAGTCACTTTTTCAAACATTTCTAACCAACTGTGGTTCTGTGGTTTTATATCAGTTCAGTTCCCCTCAGTTTCACACAGGTGTCATCATATTACTGTAACACATGAACATGTTTCACAAACTCTGACACTCAGAAAGTGTCCAATACTTTTTGTCTTTATTTTGAACATATGCATATGTGCACAAAAATATGCATATCTGCTGATTGCTTCATAGTTTGAAACCCAACAAACTTAATTTTGTGAAATGTTTTCACTAGAAAGTGTTTATGTGATAACCCCTTGTTTTGATATTTTGTTACATAATGCAAAGACATTTATACATTTTTAATTGCATCTTTAGTGTCCAAAAACTTTTTATTACCACTGTATCCATTCACTTACAAACAAAGATGCATGATGACTCTATTTAAAGAACCTGTAATGTAACATAATGACACATTGCAGTCACTTCTGAGAAGTCCTGTTAACAGAGACATAAAAAATACAAGACTGAGACACACAGAGGAGGGAAATATGTGGCGGTGTCTTGGATTGCACACTGTCTCTCAGGATTTGCGTCAGTGGCCAGTTTCATCCGTTTTGGAGCAGTGTGGTATCTGGAGGCTTAATTCAGAGCTAGGGCTCATCTTGTGCTCTCTTTCACCACAAGTGCCTTCTTTAGCATCTGTAAATATTAGCTCAAGACTATTTTAGAAATAAAATAATTTTCTGAAAGGCAGCCACCACCAGTGATAAGGAATCCATTTAAATGAAGCTTCTGGCATTGGGGGATATTTATTATTTGCGCAGCAAACGAAACTGACTCGGTTAAAGCATTCCTGTGGATATCCAAATTGAGAATGGACATGAGGTCCTTCAGAAGTTAAAGGTGAAGTGTGCGATTTCTGCACCACTAGATGCCCCAATCTGAATTGCAAAATACATTTATTTGTTTTCTGTTTTTTATACTTTTACATGTGTGCTAAAGTAGTCGCAATATCTGTTGTAACTCTCAAAACATCTTTTCCTTGCTCGTCTCTAAAAACTAGACTCATGCAAATTGTGGACTGAAGAGTTTGTTCTGTGTGTCACTAGACCATCTACTCATGCTAGATTCTATCTTCTTGTTCCCAAATGGCGCTTTTCCACTGCATGGTACGGCACGTAAATCAGCTTAGCCAGCGAAGGATCGAAAGCAACTGTTTTGAACGAGCGCACCTTTTTTTTAACAACCAAAAAGTTTTGTTGTCTGTTGCGGAAGTACAGACGTTCCTCTGTTGATAGCAGAGGAGCAGATCCAGCGAGAGCTTGATGGGGCAATGCAGAATGAATAAGTTTTTTTTAGGAGTCGTGGTAGTAGAGGCAGCGCAACTGAAGCGGCACTGAACTGCAGTGGAATGTTGAACAAGCAGTAAAGTATGATGCACTTTTTTTGGTCTGTGCGTTTATCAAGGAAATCACTGCTCCGAGTCTTTATTAAAACCAACAGGTTATGGGCCCAGAAGCAAAACGCTACAGTGAAGCTGCTGAACGGCTTATTGAAGGTATTGAGCGACAGTGAATAAAAAATGAGCTCGGAGTCCAAGACAGTGACGGTTGTTCCATTAAATGGATCAAACTATCCTACGTGGAAAGTGCAATGTCGAATGGCATTGATGAGAGACGGATTATGGAACTTGGTAAATGGTACAGAGACTGCTCCACGATCCGATCCAAGTAAGTTAGCATGTTATATGACTAAAAGTGATCGTGCACTGGCTACCATTGTATTGTAAATAGAACCGTCTTTGCTCTATTTAATTGGAGAGCCGGAAGATCCTACTGTCGTGTGGAAAAAGTTGTCGGATCAGTTTCAGAAGAAAACTTGGGCAAATAAGCTAGCACTGAGGCGCAAACTGTACTCGTTGCAATTGAAAAACGGAGACTCGGTTCAAGAGCACATCAAGGTCTTGACTGAAACGTTTGATGCACTGTCAGTTGTGGGAGATCACATTGAAGAGGAAGATCGTGTGGTACACCCGCTAGCCAGTTTGCCTGACTCGTTCAACGTGTTAGTCACGGCACTTGAAGCAAATGTGGATGTACCTAAAATGGAGGTCGTCACGGAACGATTGCTGCATGAAGAATGCAAACTGAGAGAACGTGATGTTGAAAACACCAGCAGTGATGTCAAATCTCTGACTGGAAAACAGTTCTTGAGAGAAAAAGGCCCAAAATGTCATTACTGCAGAAGGTATGGACATATCAAGCGTAACTGCAGAGAGTTCAACAAATCTTCTCCAAACACAGACTTCAACAAAGAGAGTAAGAAGGCT